TAACAAAAAGGAACAAATAATGAAGAACTACCACATAATCAGCAATGGTCTGTGGAGATAAATTTCGATAAATTCTGCCTCTTAGTACCGAAGCTATTCTCTTGGACTGCGATTTATGAATCCATGAAGACATAATATCATGGTATTCAATTATTTTCCAGATCATGGGTCCCACGAGTGGGATATGGCCCACGTACAAACGCGACAATGGCAGCTTTCAGGCAATGGCAGTACAGGGTTTTGGTAAACCTGTAAAGAATAAATTGAAAACATTGAACGACATAGTAGAGACCACTAAGACCACCAAGCTCCCATGGTTGAGGTGTATTGAATGCAAGATTGAAAACTTCCGGCTGGACGTAGGCACTCTGACAGCCTTCTTTTGAGCTCCTGGAAATTCAACTAGAAAAATCTCTAATACAGTGAAGGCGGTTGAACGAAAGATGATAATTCAAAGAATCAACACAAATTTCGAGGAGAGGCACCGAGACCGACTTGAGTATCTAAAACAGAGCGTCTCAGCCCTTGGGTGCAGTATAAGAACGTAAAAAGCAATTACATAAACACAACAGAATGCTGTGTCTGAATTTGACCAGAATAAATTTTTCAGAACATTCAAAAATCAAAGAAAGTTGCCTGAAACAGTTCTTAAAAGTTCCGAGATGGAAGAATATTGGAGTAAAATATTGATTTGGAGTAATATAATATATTTAATTGGAATAATATACCCCAAGGCCCATGATGATGTAGCTTACTGGATAGCAGAAGAGGAACGGAAGTGTTGTGATATATATTAGATGTAGCTCAGATCATCGCCTAATATTACACGGAGATATGTCTTCAATTTACTCACGAAGACGCATAATTGGAAAGCGCCAGGTACTGATGGGATACAAAACTTTTGGTGGAAGTATTTCCGGGGTACTCATGCGGTTTTGACCAGGTGGATTCAAGCTGCATTCAACTATTCAACTATCATTCCGGCGTCTTTTACTGAAGGAATTACATTTAAGATAAGCACTTCTAGCGATCCTAAGTCTCATAGTAACTATCGACTTATCATGTCTCCCCACAGTATATAATGTTTACATCTATGTCAGCTAGTGTACCCATCTAAGGGCCAACAATCTTCTGGCACCAGAGCAAAATGGTTGCAAAACGCGTGCTTAAGATGGCAAAGAATTATTAACAGTGTTGCAGTCAAGTCAAAAAAGACACCGCAAAATTTCTGTAAGATGTATTAACAATACCAAGACCTTCGACTCGATACCTCATTTGTGGCTTTTGTAAGACCTTCGCTTCTAGAAAGTAAATGCTCAGTTTGTGAATTTTACCCAACATTGCATGGCAACTTGGCGTACAAAGATAAAAGTTTAATTTGCTGGAGGAAGCTATACCACTAAGGAACTGAGGATCAAACGAGGAATTTTTCAAGGAGAGAGAGTCTTATTCCCTTATGGTTCTCCCTAGCTCTAAACCCTCTGAGAATAATGTTAAGAGATTCAGGGATGGGATATGAAATCACCAAAAAACCGCATATCCTCGTTATCCATCAGTTCTACATGGACTATCTCAAGTTGTACGCCAGAGATAAGAACCAGCTTTTCTGTCTGTTTGAACTTGTAAAGTCCTTCCATGACTCTATTTGTATAGAGTTTGGCATTGATAAATGCCAAACAGTACATGTGAAAACGGGAAAATCCTTGATCCTGACAAAGTCATCCTGATGTGTGGCACAAATAACCAAGAACTTGGACAAGAGGATACCTATAAATATTTAAGTCTGCACAGATTTTTGAGCACAAGTGAATCAAAGATGAGCTGTGATATTAAAAATTAAGTCTTGCAGAGATTCTCAAAAATCTGTATAACTCTTTTAAATGTAAATAACCTCACATCAGCTATCAATACTGAGACAGTACCTGTCGCTGTCTATACATTTGGTGTTCTTCACTGGACAACAACTGCACTGCACTTAATCGAAAAGATAGGAACACTCTTACCTAGTATCTTATGCACCATAC